TGGCTGCAATATAACAAAGAGTGAAAAATTTAAGGGGGTCTGAATACTTTCCGTACCCACTGTATATTTTTTGTCAACCCTGCTCAAACACTGGGTACCTAGTCAAGCTACTGAGTGTCAAATCAGCACTCATCTTTTTAGCAGGACTTTGTAAACATGAATGGTTTATGGCACCGTCTTCCTTTCCTCTCGTTCACCGTCCGCAGGAGGATTCAGACAGAGAGGGAGAGCGGAGAGCCAGCGAGGACTGTGAGGTGTCTGAAGCTGAACTCGCCACAGAAGACGGTTAGACATCATTCATGACACACTGAATGTTCAGTTTCCTCCCTGAGTGCTGCACTTTAACATCTTCTGTATCTGATTGTCCACCTCAGTTTCATTTTTAAGACATTTAATGCCATTTGCAACATAAGCACATTAGTGTCTAACAGTAATATTTCTCTCACTAAATACGCGTCATACATAAATAGAAAATAATAGTGTTTTAAACATCTATTTAGATGAATGAGGCTTCAGATGGATTGTGAAAAGTTTGCTATGATATTATTGATTAATAATATTTTTCCTTGTATGCACAGCCATGGTGCAACAGCACTGATGAATGAACATTTTAACAGGGAGATTAATAGGGTTCATTGATTTCATGCTATTTATTTATTTTATTTATTTCAGGTTTATTTGACAGGGACAATGCACATCAATAATACATAAATGTACAATGTGCCAGAATTAGCCAGAAGGCCAGTGTGCAGTCCCTGGACTGTTGGTAATATTGTCACCCTAAAAATATAAAGAATTAATCAATACATAATACTTACATACTCCAAAATACATATAACATTCACACTATTCCTTAAAAAAAAAACAATCCGCTTAAAAGTTATACTATACATAGAACCAACAAATCAATACCAGCTCACTCATACACCCACAATCCAACTGTCAACAAAATAACAATGTATCAATAATATCATCTCAGTATACATGCAAAGATAATGTAAGCATACAGACAAGTAACAGTAGCCCTAATCATTCAATCATTACTAAACCAAACAACCTCATATACATAGCATACAAATCTCAAACTAGTAGAGCAGAAAAGACAAGACAGCAGCAGAGTTTAGTTTATAAAATTTGTTAAGTTTATGTGAATTTGTTAGCAAACTCGAAGAATATTAAAACATGCATATCCGTATTTATCCTTTGCGTATGCACAGAGAACGTGTCGGGCTGCTGCATCGTGACGGAGAGTGACACAGATCTGGAGGTGGAGTATCAGGATTGTGGGAATGGCAGAGCGGAGGCTGGAGGACAGGGAGCAGGTGAAGGCGAGTCTCCGTCGGACTCCAACACGGTGAACCAGGACGAGGACTCCTTCAGTATTCTGGACGGAGACTCTCTGCTGGAGGTGGAGGGTCCGCAGCCGGAGATGCCGCCTCTGTTTGTGCACCTCACCTGCTCCGTCAACATGAAGAGCTGCCATGGCTCCATGCCCACACAAACACTGCCAACCTGTCTGGGTGAGACACTGAACACACTGCTGACTAAAGCTGCTTTGTACTCTGTGTGCTTGCAGCCATTTAACAGAGTCATATTCTATACTTCTGTTGCATTTAGTTTTTTCCCTTAAGTCCACTAACAGCGTCAGTCAAGATTTCTTGACCAAAAAATGTATCATTTTGTTTCTCATGGCCATTTTTTTTTCATCATAATTTGTTAAATACATATATACATAAATACATATGTAAATGTAGGTGGTCTTATGGTCAGGTTATGGTCGTGACCTGGAAAAGGCATGAAGGTTTTGGTTGTGAATGTAACGTAATCATTTAAAAATAAGACATTAACCATTTAAATGTATTTAGTTCAAGGATTGGCTAAATATTTATGAGAATATGGCACATCAAAATCCTGATCAACAGTGTTGTTATCGATAAAACTTAATTGTTTTTCTAAAAATAAATCTAAAACTAAAAGTGTATTTAATTAATTTAAATTAAGCTGAAATGAAAATTAGATGAAAATGTTGAACTTAAAAAAAGAGACAGGAAAATGTTACATGGGCAACTAATTGAGATAAAATAAGTTAAAGTTCTGAAAAATACCAAAACCTCAACTCAGATGAAAATAAATAAATAAAAGCTTTAATAGAAAAATAAAAAACTAATACAAATGTCAAAAGCACTGTAAACTAAAATAAAAACTGAAAATATAAAAATAAATGTTAATTTAAAATATGAATAAATTCTATAATATAATAATAATATAACTAACAACTCAAGAAAAATCATGGAAATTCATTGGTTAAAAGGGATTAAACCATATATATTGAGTTTCATCCCTCTGGTTAGTTTTAACCTGGTTCATGTATTTTCAGTGATGTTAGAAAATATTAAAAAAAAATGTTTATATATACAGGTGAAGTCATTACCAGTCTTGAGAACGCTGAGAGTCTTCAGTCGGTGGATCTGAACGAGTTGTCTGTCACTCTTGATATCTTCGTGCTCACGTTACCTCTGGAGATCGAGGTCATGACTCCTGACTTCCACCACAACAGGTCAGTGATTGTGAAGCGTCCTAGATTTGGGAAAGAATCAAACAGCGTGGCTCCAGCTAGAGTGATCCTGATTTTTCTCTGTACATGTCCTATCGCTCTGACGAGGAGATCATGGCTAATCTGGACGGCCTGCGCGGGGTCGGTGTGGAAAGGTGAGCGTTCGGAGCTCAGCAGACATCATCTGTTGCCAAATATCTTCAGTAATAACTTTTTATTTTGTCGTCTTCTGCAGTATGTCTGGAGATCCCCTGTCCAAACTTCCTATTCCACACAAAATGGCTGTTTTAGCCACTATGGATGAGGTGAGAGTGCAAATGAAATGAAAATAAGTGTTTTTTTTATTTAATATTATAATTTTAAATTATGTAAAATTATTACATTGTTAAATAATTAGTCATTCTTTGCTAACGTTAACTAACAGTGAGAAATACATTTGTTGTAGTATTTATTAATATTAGTTAATAAAAATACAACTATTTGTGACCCTGGACCACAAAACCAGTCATAAGGGTCAATTTTTCGAAATTTAGATTTGTACATCATCTGAAAGCTGAATAAATAAGCTTTCCATTGATGTATGGTTTGTATTGGCTGAGATACAACTATTTGAAAATCTGGTATCTGAGGGTACAAAAAAATCAAAATATTGAGAAAATCATCTTTAAAGTTGTCCAAATGAAGTTCTTAGCAATGCATATTACTAATCAAAAATTAAGTTTTAATATATTTATGGTAGGTAATTAAAAAAATATCTTCATGGAACATGATCTTTACTTAATATCCTAATGATTTTTGGCATAGAAGAAAAATCGATAATTTTGACCCATACAATGTATTGTTGGCTATTGCTACAAATATACCCCAGTGACTTAAGACTGCTTTTGTGCTGCAGGGTCACATTTATTATTAGTTCATGTTAGCTCAGTTCCATTAAATAATATTTCCAGATTCAACTTTTCATTTTAACAATGCATTGGTAAATGTTGCATTTAGCAATGATTAATTAATGCTTGTAATAAAGTATAAAGTTACATTGTTAATTCATAAATGATGAATTAACTAAATGATAAATAATGTAGTTAATGGTAACAAATGGAACCTTATCGTAAGGTGTTACCCAATTATTTAACATTGATCCAGTAATGAAAGCACAGTATATGAAATATGCATGAAAGTTCAGACTGTTTATTATTGCAAAAGGAGGATCTCTCTGTTTAAGATATTGTTTTTGTCTGTCTCTGACGAGTGTTACTTTAGTATCATTAATAATCTATTAGTTTTCATTAATACTTTGAATTAGTTTTTGTTTTTTACATTTTACATTTTCAGTTTAAATTTTAGTAGTCATTTTGTTCTGTTTTTGTCATTTTATTAGTGTTTTTTTATATATGTCTATTGTTTTTAGTAATTTTTTTTTTCAGTTTTAGTTATTTTCATACTAAAACTAAACAATAATTAGAGATGTTACCTAACTGAAATAAAATATATATATTTTTATAATTTTATTACATGTATTTTACTTAAGATTTTTTTTTATGGTTTTAGTTTAGTTTTAGTTTTTGTTATAATATATAATGTATTATACATTTATAAAAATAAACAATAATATATACAGTACTATATGTGACCCTGGAGCACAAAAGCAGTCTTAAGTTGCACGAGGATATTTGTAGCAATAGCCAACAAAACTTTGTATGAGTCAAAATTATAGATTTTTCTTTTATGCCAAAAATCATTAAGTAAATACATAAAGGATATTTGTGTTGTTTAACATTTAATTATTGCAGGTTTGCATCATATTCTGAGTTCCATTATTTTTATTAATTTTGAGGAATACTGAATTAGTTTTTTTTTGTTTTTTGTGAGTGAGATGAATTAATGCATATTCATATTTATTCTAGAACTACAATGACATCTTCTGATTTCTCTAAACCTGGGGACAGGAGAGTTGTCAATCAATAAATTGGAAAAAAATTAACTTGCGTTACTTATTTGAAAAAGTAACTCAGATATTCTCTTGTAAATTAAAAAGTAATGCGTTACTTTACTAGTTACTTGAAAAAAGTAATCTGATTACGTAACTCGCGTTACTTGTAATGCGTTACCCCCAACACTGATCATAACCCTGTCTGTGACCGGTTTCAGATCCATTGGCTGTTGGAGGATGAGATAGTCTCCGCTCTGCGGCACTCGTCTGTTATCAGCTCCTCCACGCTGCAGAAAGTGTCGGAGCACGTGTGTCGCTCCAGCGGCCGCCCGCAGTGCCACTGTGAGCTCGTTCCCTTGCAGTTCGTATTTGGTCCCGAGCAGTCGCTGGAAAAGTTTCAAGAGGTTTGAACTCATGCGATGACCTCTATTATTGGTGATAAGACTCTCCAGGAAAGGTCAGAAACGAGATCATGTTCTGCCCTGCTGTTTAATAACACGTCTCTGCTTCCTCGCTGCAGGAGTTCAAGAGGTTATCGCTTCCTGGTTACCTGCTGAACGCCGAGCAGCACAACTTCCACTACGTCTCACTGAGTCGCCAGCAGTCTCACAGGCTTCAGGCCGTGACACAGCTGTCTAACATCACTGCTCAGTACTTAACGGCTGCAGGAACAGTGTCTCGGCAGAGCAGCCTGTGTCCTGAGGTGGAGGACGGAGCCAGAGCATCAGCAAACAGAGAAGCAGAGTCCAAGAAAAAAGAGCCCGACACTGAGGTAGTTATCAACAATCTTTGAAACCATACCTGAAGAAATGCATTGCATTTGTTTAATGATGAAGTTATCACATTAACTTTAAAATAAAGTGTGGTTTAAGTAAATGTATGTAACACTCAGATTTAACAAAGTTGACTTGCTGTCATCTGGAATATGATTCCTCTGTTTTTTCCCACAGCTGGTGGAGTGTGGAGAAGTGCAGAGGGCTGATGAGGACACGCGGCCTGCTGCAGCTGATTCAGCCAGCGAGTCTCTCTCCGAGACCTCTGACCCCGGGCAGCTCAAACAGGCCGACGCGGAGGAGACTCGACCTCAGAGTGACGCTCACCTGCAGGCGGGCAGCAGCAGCACCGAGCGCTCATCTGATCACACGTCGCCTCCCAAAACCCCCTCCGCCGCCAGCCTGGCCGAGTCCGTGCAGTCCACCACACACAGTGAGTGTCACGAGAAACCCACCTCATCCGACTGTACTGAGATGCTGCTTGTGAACTCACATTTACATGTAGTCATTTAGCAGATGAGGAGAACAATAGCAGCAATCAGAGCAACAAGAGAGTAACAGTATACAAGTGCTGTGACAAATCTCAGTTAGTCTAACACATTACACATTGCAAGTTTTTTTTTTTAAATAAATAAATTAGACTAAAACGAATAGAATAGAATAGGTAAGTGCTAGTATTAATTGGTCAGGTGCTGGCGAAAAATATGCGTATTTAGACATTTTTTGAAAATGGCTAAAGGACTCAGCTGATCGAATTGAGATATAGGCAGGGCATTCCAGACAGTCCAGAAAAAGGTCAGTGAGAGTGATTCTGTGCCTCTTTGGGATGGCACCACGAGGCGGCGTTCACTTGCAGAGCGCAAGCTTCTGGAGGGCACATAAGTCTGAACTAGCGAGTTTAGGTATATGTGACCCTGGACCACAAAACCAGTCTTAAGTGTCAATTTTTCGAAATTGAGACTTATAGATCATCTGAAAGCTGAATAAATAAGCTTTCCACTGATGTATGGTTTGTTAGGATAGGACAATGTTTGGCTGAGATACAACTATTTGAAAATCTGGAATCTGAGGGTGCAAAAAAATCTAAATATTGAGAAAATTGCCTTTAAAGTTGTCCAAATAAAGTCCTTAGCAATCACGTTACTAATCAAAAATTAAGTTTTGATATATTTACGGTAGGAAATGTACAAAATATCTTCATGGAACATGATCTTTACTTAATATCCTAATGATTTTTGGCATAAAAGAAAAATCGATAATTTTGACCCATACAATGTATTTTTGGCTATTGCTACAAATATACCCCAGCGACTTAAGACTGGTTTTGTGCTCCAGGGTCACATATTGGTGCAGTCCCAGTGGTTGTCTTGTAAGCAAACACCAGTACCTTGAATTTGATGCGAGCGGCTATTGGCAGCCAGTGCAAACTGTTAGACTCTGACAGTGTTGGGGAGTAACTGGTTACATGTAACAGAATTACGTCATTTAATTACAAAATAAATGTAACCAATCTGTTACAGTTACTGTGGAAAAAAATGTGTAATTAAATTACAGTTACTTGTGAAAATGTTAACGATTACAAAGAAGGTTACAACTGAATATTTTCACACACAAACAGATTTGAGTGATTTCTTTCCAAAATTACATTGACTGCTTTAAAATATGAGACACCAATGTTTCAGGAGTTTAGGCTTGTGTATATGCTTTATTTTTAAATTAAATGTTTTTTATTGTTAGATGCCAGTGTTTCCTGTCCTGTCTGTGCAAAGATTTGATTTCAAAAACAGTATCATAGCTATAAAACTATATATTTTGTTATGATTTCAAATCTGTATTTTAAGTCAAGTCAAGTCAAGTCACCTTTATTTATATAGCGCTTTTAACAATACAGATTGTGTCAAAGCAACTGAACAGCATTAATTAGGAAAATAGTGTGTCATTAGCGTAGCTGCTGTTCCAACCAAGCAAAATTGATTTGTTTAACCCAAACTAAAGAATATTTTACCTCAGAACAATCTCAAAGTAAAAAGAGGTGCTAAAGTCTGATTTTGTGGTGGCTGTGCTTTAAAATTAAATTATTATTATCTTAATTCAAGAGATGAAGGATTTTGAAATTCTGTCAGTAATCAGTGTTGAGTACTACTGTAAGGTTAACCCTGCCTGCTTTACATGTTTGAAAATTATTAACGGTTTAGAAAAATGAAGAAAAAATTTAGAAATTTGAATTTTGAAAAGTAGCCTAATCAAAAAGTAATCAAATGCAATCAGTTACATTACTTTAATAAAGTAATTTAAATAGTTACACTACTTATTACATTTTAAATAGGGTAACTCGTAATCTGTAACCTATTATATTTCCAAAGTAACCTTCCCAACACTGGACTCTAATTAGGTGAAAAGTTGCAAAAAAAGCCTGCATACTATGAGGATGAAAAAGACAACAAAGAAGTATTTCAATGCCAATTACAATGCCATGTGCAAGAGGAATAGTTTAACCAAAAATAAAAATCTGCTGAAAATGTCCTCTCCCTCAGGCCATCCAAGATGTAGATGAGTTTGTTTGTTCATCAGATTTGGAGAAATGTAGCATTTCATCCCTTGCTCACCGATGGATGCTCTGCAGTGAATGGGTGCCGTCAGAATGAGAGTCCAAACAGCTGATAAAAACATCACAAGTAATCCACACCACTCCAGTCCATCAGTTAACATCTTGAGAAGCCAAAAGCTGCGTGTTTGTAAAAAACAAATCCATCATTAAGATGTTTTTAACTTCAAACCATTGCTTGAGTCCTCTATCTATAATAACACTTCCTCCAGTGAAAAAGTGGTCTGGTCTGAATCAAGAAAGAAATCTGCACAGATCAAAACACCGTTTAGAAGCCAAAACAGATCTTAACAAATATGTGGGTGGATTTCGATGTGAGAGACAACAGGGGATGAACTTTTTCATTGGAGGAAGCATTATTATGGATTTTGGCCAGAAGTCTGAAGTTAAAAAGTCTTAATTATGGATTTGTTTCTTTTGGCTTCACAAGACGTTAACTGATGAACTGGTGTGGATTACTTGTGGATTATTGTGATGTTTTTATCAGCTGTTTAAACTCTCATTCTGACGGCACCCATTCACTGCAGAGCATCCATTGGTGAGCAAGTGATGTAATGCTATATTTCTCCAAATCTGATGAAGAAACAAACTCATCTACATCTTGGATGACCTAAAGGTGAGGACATTTTTAGCAGTTTTTTTTTGGGGTGAACTATTCCTTTAAAACAGAGATCGATAACAGTTGAATATGTCACATGATCAAAAAAAAAAAAGATTTTGGATCATGTGATTATTTCTTTTGCCTCTTTGGATTATTGTGGCTTACACATGTCGACTTTTTGGATGTTTTCTGGTGCAGTGATTTTGTTTGTTTGTTAGACTCTAATAATAAAGCTCATACTATTTATTCTAAGCGGCTTTGAATTCCTGTTGCTTTCAGGCAGTGGGAAACTGCGGCCCAGTCGAGTTCAGAGCGTC